TCAGCCAGTAACATTAATGTCCTTGAAAACCCCCAGGAGCTCTTGTGCGGAAGGATGTTCTGTGACGAGTTGAACGAACCCAGGTTGTGTCTACCTAAGCTGTCAGTTAAGCTTTCTGGCTCTTCCATGGTTATTAACTGTGTCTCTCTGTCTTTGCTTATAGCTTCCATGATGTTTCAGTATTTTGTCAAAGTGGTTCCCACGGTGTATATGAAAGTAGATGGTGAAGTAAGTACCTTTTTCCCTATTGTTTTGGCAAGCAACACAATCTGCTTGACTTTCTTCATATCACCACCCTTGCAAGAATAACAGTGTCTGTGGTGTAATATTACCTGTAATGTCACAGCAGTGATGAAGCATATTTCAGCCTTCTCAATCCCACCTAGTTCAAAATGATCATGTGTTTTCATCGTTTCCTCATGAATCCCATAATGTATACTTGAGAGAAGTCAAAGCAGTAAGGAAATCCTAAAAATATTCCTCGGGGAATAACCCAAGATCAGCTTATCTCCAATTTAAAAACTCCTTTAGCCTTCAAAAGAGGGTGGGTAGATTTTCCAGCCCTGCTTTCAGGATATGTCCTTCTTTTGAAACAGGTAGGATAAAATCATTACTGAGGAGATACCAGGCTGAGGTGAAGAAACTGTGTCCTTCTGCAGCTCTGGCACTCTCCTGACTTTTTGTACTATTTCCTCACTCTTGAGTACATACGGCTTTCTCACTGAAGTGCGATCTCTTGAAACATGCTTAGGTATATATCTTGGTATAGGATGATTTGTTCTTGGGTTGAGGTTGAGAGGGACAGCTTATGCCATTACCTGCCAGTCCAGTCTGGGACAAATGCATCGCTTGTCCTTTGGCTAGCTGCGGCTTTAATGATTAGCCTGTAGTAATAGACCTGATCCTGATGGTGCTGTTTAAGACCCTTTGTAACCACATGTCAAGGCCCCCACAAGTGAGTGGGCAGGGCTACTTTGATATGGTTCACCTATTACATGGTTTAGTAGCCTAATAGTAGCCTTTCCTATCCCCTGTTGACTAAACAATGTTTGCTGTGTTTGCCTCCTGCTAGGTGGTAAGGACTAACCAGTTTTCAGTTACACGGCATGAGAAAATAGCCAATGGGCTACTAGGAGACCAGGGCCTGCCTGGCGTATTTGTGCTCTATGAGCTTTCACCCATGATGGTGAAGCTGACAGAGAAACACAGGTAAGAGACATCTATTTCATTCATTCTCCATTGATTTCATCTTTTTGCATAGTTTAAAACTCCATCCTTGCTTAGACATGACCATGCAAATGCCTGGAAGCCATCCGAGCCCCTTCCCAGTCAGTGGAGAGGAAGAGGCACTCTCAAATGTCCTTCTTCTCCAGGTGAGCAGCTGGAAGGGGTAGGGGGTTTTCTGATAGTATCTGAAGCATTTTAATCCAGTATCTAGATGAAGATGGAAATTGGAGCAGTGAGCAGAAGTCTGATACAGTGGTTCTTGGATCAAACTGATTTCCTCAAAGTCTTTTTTTCAGTGTGAAGGCTAGATTTGTATAGCATACCCATCTTACCAGCACCAACAACTCCAACCTGGTTACTTAGTCTGCATTTGCTATAGCTTTTCTACGTGTCATAGTCAGTGTGGAACCTTTCTTTTCTTCAGGTCCTCCATTAATCACAGGCATGTAGTTACAGGGGAATGGAAGAATAAGAGACAGCCAATGACTGTACCTTAAAGTATATTAAGAGATGCTTAGGGATTTAGTTTGAGTTACAGAAGTCTGCTGTGCATTCTGTCTGGATAGGACTGGATAAAAGCTTGGGGATTAAAAGGTTTATAAATTCAGTACTTGCCTCCAAGTGTTACTGTTGAGCTCATTAGGGCACAGTGGTCTAATGCTGCCCAGTGCCACTCAGTAAAAGTATCAGTGATAAACTCCATTCTGTAGGCCATAGGGGTTATTTGTTAAATCTGTTAATTGTTATCTATTAATATCTATATAATGCATACTTATGTGCTATGATGAACATTATTGAGATTATGAATTGGTTTTTATAAGCTAATTATTACTTATTTGACAGTATCTGAGCTCCTGCTGGTTGTTCAAATTGTTTTCCTCATTCTAGGTCCTTCACACACTTTCTCACGGGAGTTTGTGCCATCGTTGGAGGCATATTTACAGGTAGGAGCTCAGGTTCCTGTCCTGTGAAAGCCACCTCAATGGATGCAGGGTAGTCTGGAGTTTGTGGTGCAGGAGACCCATTCTGAGCTTTTCTGTGGTCCCAAACAAGCATTGAATTAATAGTCTCCTTCAGTGCTGGAGAGATTTGGGGAGAATACGGCAGAAAGAGCTAAAGCATGATTTATTTTGCTTTGTGTCCTTGGTGAGTAAACATTGTGGTTTCTGGTAAAGGGCATCCATCAAGGGCAGCGTCAGGTAGAGCAGCTTACTGTTCAGGTTACTGTGAAATGAGAAATGGGAACCATGCCCTTGACAAGGAGGGTCAGGGCAATGACATTGCATAAAGCTCAGCATCAGCTTCCTCTCCAAGCTGTTCTCACTCATCAGTAAACACACGACATGGCCTTTCTCATTTTTACCTCTGTGAGAGAGATCTGTTTTTGGAGATCACCTCTGTCCTGCCAGCTGGATCTTCTCTGTCCTCATGAGATGAGCACCTTATTCTGAGCAGCAACAGCTGTTTTCTATCTGGAGGAGCTGGAATTCCTTTCCACTGACAGAAGGGTTTGCGTTTGATTTCTGTGGTAGTTGTTCTCTCTTTGAGGGTTGTCTGGCTTGATCCATTTGTTTTTTCCTTTTAGTTGCAGGACTCATTGACTCCTTGATCTATCACTCAGCACGTGCCATCCAGAAGAAAATTGAACTTGGGAAGACAACATAAATAAGCAATGACCCCACAGAAAAACCTCTGAGGAGAACTAAACGGGTTTTTTGAAACACGAGTGATCTGAGTGCACAGGAGAAGAGGCTTTGAATTTCCAGATGGCCCTGACCACGCTTAGGTTCCTGTCCCATCATTCTTTGTTTGGCATTAATAGGTAGATGGAACTGCTTGAACCTTGCTGCTATAAAGATTAGCCATCATGTCTGGCTGTGCAGACCCTACTGTAAAACCCCTTTTGTGTCAGTCCATGTTCATCCAGTTCCACCCTCCTTCCTGAAAGAGATGCTGGAGATACTGCGTTCTGTTTGCCTCCAGGAATAATGTACTGTATTGTCATGAGACCTGGAATGGATTAAAGTTGCCACCAAATAAGCTTTCTAGCAACACCATCTAGCTTTTAAGCTTTCTTAGAAATGTTTCTGAGTGCTGATGCTGTATGCCAGCCCTCTGTGCCAATGTGCTGTATTCCTTCTAGCTGTCCTGGGGCAACATGGTGAGACATAGCACTTGGGATGTCCTTACTGTACTGTGGGGCATTGCAGTTGCTCCAGATTGCTCTTAGGAAAGATGCAAGTTGATGTTTCAGCAAAAAAACAGCTGGAGTTTTAATTGATTTTTAACTCTGTGTTTTTCACTTCCCCTCTGTTTATATTTTGAAATAAAGCCCATTCTCTGTGTGTTTTGGTAAAGCATTTGGAAGAATAACTGATTCGAACTAATGTTGGTACTATTTGAAATTTTCATTTAAAAACACACTTGTGTTGTGGCAAAGTCTGTAGTTATCATGATGGTTGGGGTTTTTGTCTTTTTAATGACTTACTTACACAAGTGAGTAAAGTGCTTGGTCTGTGAAGTTATAGTGGGATAAATTTGGAGAAATGAAATACTGTGGATTCCTGCCTCATTTTGGAGTAAACCAGAATCATTGCTCTTAAATCCCAGCTTTGTTATTAACGTGGTCCAAGCGGTTGGTGCCATAGTGCACACTGTGGTGGGCCTAGGATCAGATAATGCAAGTTAAAAGCTATTCTATAATTAATTTGAAAGTAGTTTTTGTTTTACATTTGAAACAAGGATATTTAATAAATCCATGGGGTTAGGATTATATAATATCACAGTGTGAGAAAAGGCACATGAGGAACAAAAAATGACCTGAACAGCTTCAGTCCCACAGCAAAGCACACAGCTTGGTACCTAAACCTTTTTATCAGGAGGAGGAAGATGAATGGAAATAATGCAGCAAGAGTTTAACCCGCAGTTAAACAGTTACCACCTATCACTTGTCTTTCATAAGAAAACTAACTGCTTGTAAAGCTCAGGAAGGTGTTGAGCACACCGCACAGCTTAGGACTGAGAGCAAACAGGGAAGGTGAGGGGTAGGTAAGTGCAAGACTTGGACTCAGTGTGGGAAACTGGGTATGACAGAGAAGAGGAACAGAAGACACAGAAATGGAGATTAAAAAATCATTGAAGCTAATAAGTAATACAGGCTTCTGGTATTAAAGAGCTTATGTGTAGGAGAGATTCTATTAAAATGTGGTGATTTTAATAGACTGAAAGACCAAGGTGACTCATAGCTGTGGAAGAGCTGAGTTTGAGTCAAGGGTGTTCATGTTTGTGATTGAATGAAGGGAAAATACATCCTGCTAACCCTGCTCTGGAGGAGAAAACCTCCACTGGGGAGCTGTCTCCAGGGTCTGCAGTCTTGTTCTGCAGATGAAGCTGAGGCAGATTGTGCTGTTTTCCCAAAGCAGTAATAGCTCAGTAATAGAGCAAATAATAATAGATTGACCTGTGTTTTCAAAATTTGTTCAAAGATCAGTTAAACTGCACTTGATTCTGCTGTCTTCAGACAGCTTGCTTGACTTCTCTTCCTTTCTTATTCTTTGATTGAGCTTCAGAGTTTTTTCCTTAGTTATAAAAATATTGCCTAAAGAACAACTACGAACGTCCCCCAAAAGCTTCATCGTGCAGACAGCCACCACCACTGCTGTCACCAGTGGCTTTGTAGCCACTGCAGGGGTGCGCACAGCAGCTCATAGGTTCCACATGCACTTCCAGCTTCATGTCTCTCCTTCTCTTCCAACCAGAACGGGCAGAGCTGTGTCCAGCCGTGTGCAACATCTCGTGACATGGGAGCGTGGCACCCACAGTGCCCAGCTGATGGGGCCAGTGCAAGCAAGCTAAAGAGCGGGGAGAGCTGCCAGTTCCTGCACTAACAGCCTGGCTTCAGTCTTTTGGAAATGCATCATCTGTGGAATAAAATCCTGCCTTCAGCTGCCAGTCTCTCGATAAGGCTGAATTCGATGTCAGCGTCATGGACCCTTGTCCTGCGGAAGGCTCCAGACCAGCGGTTTTTCTCCCAGTAGTGGTGCCAGTTCCCTTTGGTGTCTGCTCCGAAGCCAAACACGGAGACCTGCACATGGCAGGAAGAGCTGCAGGGCCCTGGGCTGGAGCACACACACACAGGCAATGGTTGCCCCACAGCAGTGCCCAGCCCTGCAGGTGCACTCACTCACCTGCTGGCAGGCATGCAGGGCGAAGAGCAGGGCTATGAAGCCGGTGGAGGGGTATCGCCCGTGGTGCTGCGTCCAGTTGTCATGGATGTACTTGAGGAAAGCTGGGCTCAGGATCAGCACCTGAGTGGGGAGTGGGGGAGCCATCAGGTGCTCATCCTGCTGTGACCTGACAGCCAGCCCCTGCCACCAGTGCGGCTCCTGCTCACTGGCTCTGCCCACATCCAGCTGAAAACCAAGCCTGGGCTTTGCCCAGGCAGCTCTGAGTGCCCCATAGGAGCTGGAGCCCTTACCTTGTTTCTGTCTGCTTTGATGAACTGTTTCACTCTCATGTATGTGCTGCAAGAGCCAGAGGACAGCAGTGAGCAGGAGCACTCCTGCTGCTGGGGCCTGCTTTGGAGGCTGTCCTCCAGTGGGGACAGCCACCATCCCACCCATGCCCACAAACTGCAGTACAGAGGGATGCAAGGACTCTCACCCAGGGGCCTTTTGGTCTCACCAGGACCATGGTGCCCCACTGAGGCACCAGGGTCTCCAGGACCACCCCACACCATCCCCAGGGGCTCCAGCACAGTACGTGCTGTCCCCCAAGGCCAACGCACTGTGTGAGCTCTCCAGTGGAGAAGGTGCTGGCCACCCACTGCAGGTCCAGTGGCTTGAAGGGGACGAGGACGAGGTGGACGCCAGGCTCAAGGTCCACTGCGCTCTCTGGGTACATGAAGTGATGGGTTGTTCTCATGCCAACATCCAGCTCAAAGCCAGCAATCTTTGCCCTGTTCATCCTGGAGGACAACAGGAAGGCACATCCTAAAGCAAAGGTGCATGCCACTCTGGTCCCGGGCTGCCAGTCCCACCAGGCAAGGACACCAGGTCACCCTGGCCAGCAGCAAAGAGGGGACATGGGTGATGCAGGATGGCTGGAGGCTGGGGCATGCCGGGTCCTGGGGAGACAGGGAGAGCCCAAACCCTTCAGGTCACCCACCTCAGCACCCAGTCGTGCGCATCAATCCGCAGCCCATGGCCGGAGCCCTTCAGCCATCCGGAGTTCCCCACCACCGCACAAGTCCTGCAGTGATTCGGGTCCCACATGCTGCCGGTTGGAGCTGGGAGCACAGTGAAGAGCTGCCAAAGTATGGCCTGGAGCTGGACACCCCTTGAGGGACCCTGCAGTGTCTGCAGGGCAAAAGGCAGAGACAAGCAGCATCAGCCCCTGGCCAGTGCCAGAAAGTGGGGGGAGCCCTGCTCCTCCCAGCAGAGCCCTGGGAAAGGCACAGAAAAACCCAATGGGATGTTAGGAAAAGGGTGCAGGACAGCTCTGAGATGGTGAGGGGGCATAGTGAATCCTTGCACCCACTGTCCCTGCTTTTAATCTTGGTCCTGCCCATCACAGGCAGACCCAGGGAGAGCCCCTATCTCCCACCTGTGCCCCTACTTACCAGCCACCACTGAACCACGTCGGAGGAGAGCTCATGGGCTGTGCCTGTCAGCAGAGGCCGCATGGTCGTGTTGTAGCGGGCATTGAACCATGTGGAGCTGTTGGTGCTGGTGGTGCAGTAGGCAGCAGGGGCGCCAAGGTGGGAAGGAGCCTGAGGGAAGGGGCTGATGCCACCCCTGGGGGCTTGGAAGCATTGCCACAGGACCAGCAGCAAGCACAGGGCCAGCACCACCTGCATGCGCCTCTGGCACAGCATCCTCACACCATCTGCAGTGAGATGTCACAGGGACCAGTGGCAGCAGCACCACTGGATGGACCCCTTCCCACCCATCCTCCCTGCCCAGCCTCCCAGGACATCCATTGGCTGCTCACCAGTACTGCAGGAGACCTGAATTAGTCTGGTTCTCATTTCCTTTTCAAACGAACAGCTTTATTGCTGTGCTCTGCTTCTGGCACTGCCATAGTTACCTAGTCTGGGCAGGGCTGGCTGGTGGCACATACTGTACAAGGAGCTGCTCTTTGCCTGTGACACTTTTAGGGTCTGCAGATTGACCCCTGAGCAAGCAGCAAAGCAACATCACCCCTATCACCAGCCAAACCCCTCCAGAGCAGCAGCCCTCTGCCCATGAAGCAGCTCCTCTTCTGTAAAGCCCTGCCACCTTCTCCCATGCACACCAGCACCAGGGAGCAGCTTCTGCACACAGAAGCCCCTTGGCCTCCCCACTGTGACTGCACTGGTGGCAAATCACCTCCTCCTCAGCCTGGGGATTTGCAGCTTCGAGGGCGCTGAACCATTGCCAGGAGGCAGGAGCAGGAGGTACCGAGTGTATGCATGAACCTGTCTTAAATACTGTAATTATGTGACATTTCTGTTCTCCATCTAAAAACACTTAAGTAAACCTAAAGTCTGACTGAAAAAGGTGTTCTTGTCCTCAGGGAGTTCACAAAGTGCTCAGCCTCTCAGGACCTGCCTCCTGTGGGCTAAAGAAAGCTTGAGGAGAAGGGATGTGAGAACAGCCTCCATTCTGGGGAGAGATGAAGAAGCAGGAAGGGTGTCCCCTCTCTACTGGGGAAGCTGAGGGAGAGAAACCCACTCCTGCCTTTACCCTCTGCTCCCCCCAGTCGCCTGGGTGCCGCGGGTCCTGCAGCTCAGAGGTACCTGCTTGCCGTGGCGTCCAACCAACCGCACTCAAACAGGAGCCACTGGACACACACCTGACAGCAAAGCTGCTGCTCCAGGTGCCCAAGCAAGGAGCAGAAGCAGGAGATGGTGAGGAGCGGTCAGATGATCCTGGGTCACCACAGCAGGTCGTGCTGCAAGCTGCCCTTCCAAAACACAACTGAACCACCAGCTCTTCTTGAAGAGAAGCTCAAACAAGTTATCACCACTGCACCAGGAACACAGACACGGGTGCTCCCGAGCAGGAAGCAGCTGTGAAATGTCACCTCCTCACCCGCAGGCTTGGGGGGGACCTTGAAGGCCCCAGTGCCCTCTCTGCTGGAGGCTGCATGGCCGGCGCCAGCAGCTCCATTAAGCCAGGGGACTCAGGCAGCACAGTGAATATTTCATGAAGCTCTTCACAGACACCATCCTTTGGGAGGGCAGAGCTCTGCCAGACAGGGCTGAGCAGCCCATGTCCCTCTCTGTGCCCATGCGCAGCCCATGCTCCATGGGTGGGACCCACAGCCCCATGACAGCTGAAACACCTCTTCCCCCTGCCCCATGCCCACAAGCGCCCTTACCTTGGGGTTCCCCGGCCCAGTGCCATCAACCACAAGCCACTGCCGCTGCCTCTGCCCCAAAGGACATCGCCAGGAGCTCCCCAAGCCCTGCAGCCAGGAAAGAGACCCCAGACAAACGTCCCCAGGGCCCCTCACCTTCCTGGAGGGTGCACTGCTGAGCAGGGTGAAGGGGGTGCTCCCGAGCTCCGTGGCCTCGCCAGCGCTTGTTGCAAGCTGCAGAATTCACCACAGGAAGAGGAAGTGTTGCACCATTGCGTGGCAGAAAACAGAGCCTCGGGGCGAGTGGCACAGTGAGGTCAGAGCTGCTGCCCCTCCTGCATGGTACCCATCACCCTGGTGCCCCAGCACAGCCCCAGCACACCATGGTAGCTACTGGTCCTGCTGGATTTGGATGCCCTGGCCATGTTCCCAGGGCTGGATCAGGAAATACATCATTGCAATGTTTGAGGCTAGGAGAAGCTGCATGGACTGGAACTGCCCTCCTGGGCCTGAGGGTCATAGAACCATTGAACACTTAGGGTTGGAAAAGCCCTTAAGATCATCCAGTTCCAACCCCCTGCCATGCAGGACAGGGATACCATGCACCATGTCACCCAAGACTCTGTCCAACCTGGCCTTGAACAGTGACAGGGATGGAGCATCTCCTGCAGACACTGACACCAGCAATATGAAGGTCTCATTTAGCTGGTTTCTTTTCCTCACCTGAAAGGGATTTGGGCTCAGAGAGGACAGAAAAGCTGTGAAATGTGCCCCAGCAATGGAGAAAACGCAACCTGTGGAGAAAAGCCATGTGAGCTGAACTGTGAGTAGTGCTATCCAAGGGGAGGTCAGTCCTCTTTGCTCTCATGCCTGAGAGGAGGTTTGGTGCCTGAGGGAGAGTGGTGAAGAGGAAGGTGTAACATCTCAAACCAGAGCAGCGCCGTGAAATACACAGCACCAAAGAGACGGCGTTCAGTGGTAGCGGGCTCAAAGGGCCTCTCCATCATTGCTGGGGATGAACAGGCACCAGAGGGGCAATGCCCTGAGCTGCCACAAAGCACATTTTCTGGAGCACAGGCGGTGAAACCCGGGAGGGAGGAATTAGGGATGGCTCAGGCGCCACAGGGTGGTGCTGGCTCCACAGCATTTGCTCGCGTTTCATTTTATTTCTGTTTCCCACCTAGCTGTTGCATTGGGAACAATAGCAGTTGGCAGTGCATGTCCAAACCCCAAATTCACTTGCAACTGCTTGAACTCGTAGCCGCAGATTGGCATTAATTTATCAGACCTTACTGAGTCAGTAACGTCATGTAAAAGAAAACTGTATTTAACAACTACTTGTATTGCAATAGCATACACTGAGTGTGCTCAGCCCTCAGCAGAGGCCCCTTTCCCAGGGGTTTGCATGCCAGCTCCAGAGCCTCTGCCCCCAGGTCCCCATCCTGCTCTGCTTGAGATGATGCATTAGCCAAGTTTGCCAGGTCTCTGTGGCACACCACTCCTGGCACTGAATGGTGAGCATGGTGGTTTTGAGCTCCCTGCGGGCAAAGGAGGAGTTAAAGCTTGTGTGTGGATTGAAGGATTTATCTTCCAGCCTTTCAGAAAGCCTCCAAGAGGAGGTCTGTGGAGGGAGCAGGGTGGTGGGTGCTGGTGGGATATGTCCCTCTTGCAAGTGAGGAGTGGTGGGAAGCAAACGGGAACTTCTGGGGTCTCTTGATTTTTCAGCTACAGGGGAGCTGGGATCTTCCCTGGGATTTGGGGTGCGGAGAGACAAATTCAGCCCATGTCTCCTGCATGGTGATGCAGGGCTCGATGCTCAAGACCAAAGGGCTGGTCTTAAAGCTGGGCCAACACCAGGCACTCTCTGAGGTGTGTGCAGTACAGCAGGAGCTCTGCACAGCTCCAGCTCTTCCTTTTGTGCAGGAGCTACCTGCAAAACATCAGGACTCCTGGGCAGAGGGAAAAATGTGGGAAAAAGCCTCATAAGCTGAAATCCCACAGCACATGCTCCTGGAATAAAGTTCAGTAAATGCAGGGGGGGAATTCTTACCCGTGCAGCAGCCATCGAATTCATAGGAACCGCCGGTATCTTTCAAATGGCTTTAAGTGGCTCAGTGTAATGGGACTGGTTTTATCCTTTTACTCTTTGCCTAGGGGAGGGTTGAGCTTTATCCTGCCTTGTGAGCTTGAGAAATTTATGTAGCTAACTTTCTGTTCTTCGGGCTGATTTCCTCTCCTTTGGGTGCCTTCATGGGGTGTTTTCCTTCATCCTTTCCTTCCCTGGCACTATTTCACTGTGTTCTCCTTCCCTGCAGAGCTTCAGTCACTGTTGTCACAGAAGAGAGCAATGATGAAAATTGATCTTTTCTGAGCACATGCCTGTTACTAAGGCTGATGCATGGGGGATCCTTCAGCCCTACTTTTGCTTTGGTTATGTGTGGAAGGGGGATGCTGTGGCAATAAGCTAAATCCCAGTTAAAGCCCAGCATTTCACTGGTCTACAGCAGCTCTGCATCACGGACTCGTCCACAAAGATATTATCCAGGTGCCAAGGGAGAGCAGGGAGCAACCCATGGGAGAACAGGGATCACTTCACTCACTGTCTCCTGGTTCTTTCGTGCTGTTTGCACCAACAAGAGGCTTTTCTTAACTGTGTCTTTGCTTAGAGGTGTTTAAGACATCGTTGATTCATCACTGAGTTTCCAAAGTCAGGGATCTGCTGCTGGGAATGCAGTTGGGCCTCCTGTCCTGGTTTCAGCCATAACAGTCATTTTTTGTCCTGGTAGCTGCTGCAGTGCTGTGTTTTAGCTTTATCTGAGAACAATACTGATTGATAACACACTGATGTTTTTAGTTGTTGCTAAGTAATGCTTATTCCAATCAAGGACTTTTCAGTCTCATGCTTTGCCAGTGAGGAGGGGCACAAGAAGCCGGGAGGGAGCAAAGACAGGACACCTGACCCAAACTAGCCAAAAGGGTATTCCATACCACAGCTCATCATGCCCAGTATAAAAAACTGGGGGGAGTTGGCTGGGAGGAGCCTATTGCTGCTCAGGTTGGGCTGGGTATCAGTTGACACGTGGTGATCAATTGTGTTGTGCATCAGTTGTGTTTCCTGAGCTGTCATTTCTTCTCTTGCTTCTTCCTATTATTATTATGGTCATTGTTGGTATTCTTTTTATTATCACTATGTTTTACTTCATTTTAGTTATTAACTAAAGTTAATAGTTAGCAGCTCAAGGTGAGCGAGCGGTTCTGTGGCACCGAGTTACCGGCTGGGTCTAAACCAGCTCCCCATGTGTGCATCTTCCCTCCTCCCATCCCGCTGCACTTTCTGCAGCAAGCATCCCCTGTGCTTCAGCAGCAGGAAGCTGGTGGCATCGCAACAAGGTGGGAAAAACCCCTTTTTCTCCAGATAAGTTTCAGTGTAGAGCCTGAGGTCTCGCTGGTGCCTGTGCAAAAGCTCCTCCTGGCAGCGCAGGCAGGAGCACTGTGTCATCCTGCCCACACCATCGCTCCATGCTCCAGCTCCTGACCATGAGCTGAGCCTCTGCTATACAAATGAGTGTGCAAAAAACCTGTGAGCCTAACAGAGCTTCCCAGGAAGTTGCTCTGCAGCCTCTGCAGAAGAACTCACTGTCTCCTTAGCTTAAGGCCTGGGTAAAGAACTAATTATTTGGACCTAAGCTTAAATCTGTTTCCACAAAGATGGATTTGTGACTCTTGCCAGCTTCCCCCTAGAGTATTGCAACCTCATTTTGTTCCTCATGAACTTCTGCTGAGGTGTAAAATAACAACAATATTGAGCACTAAAATCGCTGAAGGCTGGATTAAATTATAATGCAATCAGTGCGAAAGACCCTCTGTCTGCAGTCAGCAGCATTAGGCTGTCCTGGGAGGGGGCAGCCTGCATGGGATCACCCAGCCAGGCCGGACTCTTTGTCTTCATCATGAAACTGAATTTCTTGGGCAGAGAGATTACTTTACCAGCTGCCAAGTGTGTACCGTGGGTGCCTTGGCATCACCTTGCCTAGGCCAGAACTCACTCTAGGAAAAGGTACAAAAACCCATAACAAAATAAGAGAGAGATGGCAATGCATATTTTAAGGTCTACAGCACATTTCCGGGGAGGGATTGCTTCCAACTTGCCACCTCTGCGTGGACTTTAAATCACAACTTGAGAAGCAGGCCCCGTCTGGGGGCTGTTAATGTGTGTTAGTGTAGGATTTAGCATATCAGGGCTCCAATCCCCACTGGGACTTTCAAGAATAAGTTCCTATTAATAACTAGGACACAGCCCAAGGGATGATTTTCAGGCATTTGAAACACCCTGGACCACAGCCTTGCAGCCCTCTCACAGCCTGGGGACAGGGCTGGGTCCTGCCCTGCTCCCTGTCCTGCTGAGCCCTTCACCCTGGGGTCCAACACTGCTCCTCTGTTCACCCCACGCCACCATGTCTCACTTGCAAGGAAAAAGGGTTATTTGTCCATCAGTGGCTCCAGGCTGTGGTGGGATGCTGAATGGTAACCTCTTAGGAGACAAGTTGTGTCACCAGTGCCAATGCAAAGAGACATCGGGTTCCTTGTGGTTCCTTGTAGCTGGCTGTAAAACCTCTCGGAGGGTCTATCCTTGCTCAGGGCATGTTTAAGGTCTCTGCCATGGAGACACCTTTTTGCCTATATAAATTCTTGTTTATCTGCTCCTTGAATGAAGTGTCTGAGCTGACAAAGCTCTTCTTTGGTCCCTTATTTGTCACAAAAAGTACACGGACTTAATTCTCTTTCTGGCTGTGTTTAATTTAGCTGCTCCTCATCAATGAGGGAAGCAGGAAAGGGAATGCTGGCATCACAGGCGTGCTTTTTCTTAGAAACCCTGTTAAAAAGACAACTCCTTTCTGGAGAAGACCCAGCGTTGCCCTCTGCTCCATGCTTAGCCCCAAAAGGAGCCTCAGCATTATTCAGCCACGCTTATTAGGATGCTTTGAGAAAAGTGATCCTTGAGGATCCTGCCCTGATATACACTCCTGCAGAAGGCAGGCTGAGCTTGGCCTTGGCCCTTTGGCTGCTCATCTGTGCTGTCCTGAGGTAATGAAATGGAGAGTTTCTCCTAAAAAAAGACTTCTTCTGCCTTGACTGAAGTCTGTAGGTTTACTGCAGCCTCTCCCAAGAAGGAGGAAGCCCAGATGAAGGGGACTGAGTTTCCATCTGCAGAGGGGTGGCATGGCCACGGCTCCAGCAGTGACTGGACATAACTTGCATTTATCTGTAGTCTCACTTTATTGTTTATTTGCTAAGTCTGGCTGAAAAGGTTTTTTTAAGGCTGTTTTGGGCTTGTGTTCTAATGTACTTGTTTGTGAAAAGGTTGCTGAACTGAAACAGTGCTTTCTTTGCAAAACGGGAAGTTGAGTGGGTCCCCCCTTCTGCTGCACATGCAATTGCATCAGTGCCACCAAGGTCCTTGTGCAAAGTGTAAGGACAAAGAGGGGCGACAAGCAGCAAGCTGAAGCAGGACAAATGGAAACCCAAGATGCTCAGTGAAATATTTAGTGAAGCATTTTGAGCAAGGAAAAGGTTGTTCCTCTTCTATTTATGATAAGGTTTGGAAGCGAGGCACTGCCTAATTGCAGATGGCTAAATACCTGTGGTAAAGCCATGCTTTCTATTTGTACGCTTCCTTGCGTTAAGACAAGGGAAGATGACAATACTTCTGATCAGAGGCATTTAGGTAACAGAAGTCTCCTGTACATGCATGTTTTCCTGCTCTGGTGTACTTAGGAGCGTATTTCAGGCAGGGCTGGTAGCTGGGGTGATGCACAGCACATG